CTCACAACCTATCAATCTGGACCTCCCTTGCTAATTTTAGTGTGCTCGACAACCGTGCGAAAGACTTGCATGCTCAATGTCTACAAGATGGACTAGTGGCACAGTGTCGGTATCCCTCAAAGCGCCTACTGCAACACTGCACCTCTCACGCGTACTTGTACGCGCCTATCAGTGGCAGCCAGATTCTCGGCCAATCACAGCTATACTAACCGACCAATCAAATTCAAGGCCGACTCAGACGCCCTCGCTCAATATGCTCTGACTCCCGTCCCTGTGCCATTGATCGCCCGCTCTGGCGACGCCGGACGAGCGTCATAAATCAATTTATGTAGGGTGTTTATAAAAGAATTTTAAAAAGGCAAATAGTCTCACCATCAACTTTCCATAGGCTTTCCAGGCAAAGTACGATGCATAGGCTGTGTCATTTCTGTCCACGGTCGACGTTACTGCAGTTTCCTACTGTCCTGGTGGATGCGAAAATGTGCCAAATTACTAACGATAGTCCTTAGTGGCCGCGGACAGAGTGCCGTACACCGGTAACACCCGTCTATTAGTTAAACAATAGGCATTCTGACTCATTTGCCTGACTCATCTGAACCCAGTCGTGAAAACCTCAGCGGTCTCGATGAGATTCGAACCCACGACAGCATGCGTAAGGCCTGCGTACATCCAACACTCTAACCATCTGGGTTATCGGAGCCCGGTGGGTGCCGTGAGTCTAATCCCAGGTTCGTCAAGCTAACCGCCTAGTCTACAGCAGCGTATGGCACCCACCAGTTCGCATGCAGTATGCTGACTACCCAAACAGGATTTTCCAATAAATTGAACAATCTGGTACTCACCAGATGACTGCAAGGCTCACTGAATTCATTAGTGTTTTGACGGAGTTGCATAAGTTACTAATGAGAAACGTGAAGTAATCGAGACAGTTGACGTATACAACCAAAAGCCATCTGTTTGACGAAACTGCTATGACGTCTGAACGACGACAACATGAAGACAGTTTGCAAGCTACGCGTTATGAACATCATTTTCCGGGTCTCGTCCTATGCCACTAACTGATCGGCTCTGTAGAACCTTTCCAGTTCGCAGAATATCGTTTGCTTATCCCCATTTAATGCAACGAATGCGAATATATTAACGCAGGTAAAGGCAAATGACAACAACGCTGGCTGAAGGCATACTCAATTACCTTTAAATACGGCAAAGTTTATCTTTAGTTCCTGCATCCCGAAACACTTGTTAGACCGTGGAAATACTGTTAGCAGAATGATAGGTTTCCCAGTGCATATTTTTACGAAAACGGCTCTGGTAATGCGCTTTGCCGAAACAGCTTACATCTAGAGACTGAAAGCAAACTTGAACGAACTGTTACATATAAAGCGTGTATTCAAACAGACACCGTACCCAAGGGCCCACAAACATCATCTGGTCTTCCTTTATTTACGTTAAACAGAGAAATTTGACCCTGCAAGTAAATTGTGACCTTACCATCTCTGCGCTTTTATGGTCAAGTTGGCTTTACAAAGTCTTTAAGAAACCAACAGTAGCCAAGAACTGTGACATTTCCAAAATATACGCATCCCTTTTGGAGTACAACTGTTACATCTTTTGCATCAAATATTTCATGACTAAAGATGGAATATGCAACACCGAAACTTTGATAGCTACGTACTTGAATTATGTAGGCATGCAATGTTGGGGCCAGTGTTGCGGTTTGAACTTGCGAAAATGGCTACGTGTACGGTTGAGGTCAAGGCCAGGTCTGAGGTAAGGGTTAAGCGGGAGAGTAGAGTTAGATCCAAGGCCGCCCGCCGTATGCTGCCTCATCCAATCCGGCTTTAAACCAGTGATCGCGAATTGCCTGTCCACCGCCCAAATTACGTCTTTCAAGTTGCACAGTCTGTTCCAGTACCCCTTTCGGCAACGGTATGGAGAAGGACCCCACTTAACTGTCAGCAGACTGTGGATCGTGTCATATGGGGTTTTGTCTTAGCATACATTTGCAGGCTGTTGGAGACATTCCACTGCCAACAACGATTACTTCCCACGACCCCACGCCTTAATTCAAAATCCATTATTTTGTGAAAATTATTTTTCGTTTATGGTTTAATCACTACTCGCATTTCCGTCGTCACACGATAGCGTAGGATAAGACTTTCGGCATAAATCCAGGCAATTTCTGTGTTTTCTTTCATTTTTTCAGCGTACTGTCTAGCGTGCTGCCCCACTCATAAAACCCCCTCTACCATAACTCACGTATGGTACGATCCACAGTCTACTGACAGTTAAGTGGGGTCCTTCTCTATATCGGTGGCCCTCTTTGAAATAAAATAAACACACCCCATTACAGGGTCCTTGTGCTATATTTTCTCTGTGGGCTTACATATTCAATTCTCCCCACTCCATGTCTTGTAGACAACGTTGCCATTATAAGCACCGCAAGAATAGGCAGTCGGGTTCGGTCCCCGGCGTTGCTACGTTGGGTTCTTCGGTGTTGTGATCGCGTTGATGCCGAGGTTAAAGTCCACAGAACTGTGCAACCGTGACTGTCTCTGAATGTAGTATTGCTACAGCAGTCCAACAAGGATGATCCGTGCCCGAGGCGCGAGTGCACAATGCGGGCAGGTTGGGGAAATGTTATTGGTCAAGATTGGCCATGAGTGCACAATGTGGGCTGGCGAGAACTTACTGGTTAGGACTGGTCATGGTACACCGTGAATTGTCGAAGTTATTGCAATTCTCTGTTGTCGCAGTGGATGCGCAGTTACCCCAAGGCACCAACAAGAGCCCTAAGTGTTTGGTAGCCTAGAAGTTACCTAAAAGTGAGCTGTACACCGCCAACACTGTGCTGATGCTTAAAGATTGAGGTGGGCGTGGGCAGCGCCAATCAAAGCAGTCAAGTAATATGCATAACCGAGAGGCTGGAATGAAGACTACGGTCCCAAAAACTAGTATGCTATCCGAACGATATGAAACAAGATCTGCAAGACGTCTGATAGGCACCAAGGTCATGTGAGTCAGGCAACTATGAATTATCGTCTTCCAGGTTTATGGCACAAATTAATCGCCACAGTGTCTTCATCGTTTGATCTGCATTTCCTCCAGAATTTTGGAAGAATATGTACATAGGTGCGTCTTGATTGTCATTTTGCTGTTCTTTTGGTCTCGTTGTCTACTTGGTCGCTGAAAATTTGACGGGAAATCCCCTTCATGATGTATGTTTTCATTAAGTGCACATTGATATAAGGAAATGAAACAGACTTCCTCGGACGGATCAGTTACCATAATTTTTAGACTGCAAACTCTATTTGATATCTGCTGGGGAGTCCATATTCCTGTTTAAACTATTTTTTTCTGACAATTCGTATTTCTCGTCTTTCGACTTGCAATGTAACGCTGTTTTGCAAGATAACCACATCCCTTCAAAATTGGCACTATTCAGTTCTTCGCAAAACTGCGCTAATTCCAAGCTATTTTTAAGCCAGTATTTCTACAAATTTGGAATTAATTTCTACCTAAACAACAATTCATACACCCATAGGAATAAGACTATTACGATGGTATTTCCAATTCGTTCTGAAACACCAGCGTACATTTGTATCCGAAATCAAGATACCAACGTGCTGTCTCGTACTCTAAGGTGAATACCTTATCGTGGCACTTCTTCGCTGTTTCGGACAGCATGCCACATCCCACCTGGAGAGAGGCCTCGTTTCCTTTAGTGTGCTCGATAACCGTGCGAAAGACTTGCATGTTCAATGTGAGCATGATGGACTGGTGTCTCTGTAATGAGCTCACTCCAGACGCCTCCGGCTTGCCTACCAATGGCAGTCTGGTTCTCGGCCAATCACAGCTGTCCAAACCGACCAATCAAACTCAAGGCCGACCCAGGCATGCCTCGATCTAGGCGCTTTGACGATGTGGCACTCGGCCGCTTGCTCAGGCGATACCGGGCGTGTGTACCTGATCAGTTTTCCAGGATGTTTATGAAAGAATTTAAAAAAGACAGATAGTCTCACCACCAAGTGTCCATAGGCTTTCCAGGCAAAGAACGATGCATAGGCTGTGTCATTTCTGTCCAGCCAGTTTAAGTAGTCCGCCAGTTCAGCCGGTGATGAGAAGTCATCCACGTGAATGAATGAGTTCGGTGGTGCCAGGGCACAGTAACTCTCCCTTGGTGCTCCCATCACTACTGGCACCATATCATGCCTTTGAAAATACCAAATTTATAGATATTCAGGAAATGGTTAGGATGTTGTGCTTTAACACGCATGCTTGCTACTGATTTATCGTGACATCCAACAGTCTTCAAAAATGATGCCTTAAATGTCCTGACTATTGTTCATTTATGAAAATTGCAAATTCCCCAGGTCGTCTGCATTAACTAGTCCACTGAAATGTACTCGGGACACTGATAAACTGACGAGGAAAATTTGCTCTGATTGAGGGTCAAGACACATTCGACTGGGAAACGTTTGCATCCGGTGGGGATTAATTGCGTCCAAACGCAATCACCCATGGTTTAATAGGCTCAAACAGTCAACTGGGGCTTGATTCTACCACGACGTGCAGGCAACTGTGACCTGGAGGACTACCAACCGACGGGATAACTCGCCACTTCTTAGGTCTGAGGGCCAGACAACAGTGATGATACGCCTAGGTGCAGGTCCATTTGCCATATCATCCACTTGCACCCTCTCTAGCCTGCGGTCTTCTTGACTATGTCTCGACACCGGGCCCCGGTGGGGGAGGAGGAAAGGGTGCGGTAGAGGCTATGCAAGTCCACTACCAACATAAAATTATTCCCTGTGTCCGTTTTCACCATTCTGAGGAGCACACGGCGGACATCGTCAGTCACGACGGTTGAACTGTCAATTAGAACGTCAAATGTATAGGAAATGGAGCTTCAGGTAACATTATTTGCACTGCGCGTACTCACAGTATGCTTCGAATGTCCGTACGTATTTACTTATGGTCTAGAAGCCATGCACACATAGTATACAGTAGATGTGCTAACTCATGAAATGTCAACCAAACTTTCGAAATGCGTTCTCGTGTCGAAAAGATAGATTAAGTAGTGTTGTAAAACTAATCGGGATGCAGCATAAGTCTATAATGATCCAGTTACCTCAGGGTGTCGGCTTTCGAAAGAGCTTATTTTTGGCTGTATGCAAGATCTATACTTTGCAAAAAATGACTACGTAAGCAGTATGCAATTTTCTCATTGATTTTCGATGCCCTTGAAAATTCAATTACATTTCATGGAATACGTGCATAAAAATGTTCATTCTTTTACTTATTCGGTAGAAAATCACGTCTTCTTCAAATTTCATACTCAAAAGAAGAGTATAATTCGGTTTTAAAAAGTTTCTCATTGTGATATTTCTTAATACCGTTAAATCGCCGTTCATGAAACGTCATGTATCTGCATTTACCAATGCGGCTTGTAAAGTTAACAATATTTCTCAAATTCACTGCTTTATTTTATGAACCTCATATGGTCTCCTCTTAACACCGTAGAGAAATGAATGGTTTTCCGTACACAGAAAATATACAGCTTGTAGTTTCGAAACCCTGAATGCAAGTGTAATAGCAGGTCGGGTTCAAAATTATTCGGAAATCAGAATAGTTTTTTAAAACCAAACTATACTCTTCTTTTGAGTATGACATTGGAAGAAAACGTGATTTTATGCCGAATAAGTAAAAGAATGAATATTTGTATGCATGTTTTCCATGAAAGATAATTGAATTTTCAAGGGCATCGAAAGTCAATGAGAAAATTGCATACTAATTAAGTAGTCATTTTTGCAGAGTATAGATCTTGCATACAGCCGAAAATAAGTTCTTTCGAAAGCCGACACCCTGAGGTAACTGGATCATTATCGATTTATGCTGCATCATGATTAGTTTTACAACACTACCTAATTTATCTTTTCGAAACGAGAACGCATTTCGAAATTTTGGTTGACATTTCATGAGTTAGCACACCTACTGTACTTCTGACATTTGATTGATATGTATTATCATCTCCCAACCAATGCACACGTGAGACAGTAGAACCTAATGCTCACGTACAAAGTTTGAAACTTTCCACTTTAATCATACACACTCGCCACAATCTTTAAGAACAGTGCTCTTGAATAAACAACTACACCTAAGACTTACCCCAGCGCATTGTCGAAGAACTTTTCTGTGATGTAGTCCACACAATTCGAGTTTTCAAATGCCAGATAGAACTTATACTTGAGCGCAAGTTCTCGGAGACAGGCGTCTCCAATGCGCGAACAATTAAGGCGCCCCCTTCCGTAGACATCTACCTACAACGTGCGCAAAAGCAGGCAATTAGCCTCAATTTTCTGGGGCAGTTTAAACTGGACAACTGGAAGAGTCTTGGTCTGGCAATTGTTCTGTTACTTTTGTCTGGTGTCAGCCTTAGATACACCACTTCATGAGTTCCATTCACATCACTTCTGTCCAAATTATTTCCTGCGTTCTACGCCCATAGGCCGTCAGCGAATGACTGCTGCAATGGTTTGAAGTACGTAGCATGCTTGGGGGATGTCGACAGGGAAAGGTTTTTTGAAATGGCAGTTAAAATCTAATCTCAGACGACATGATTACCAGCCTAAAAGGGAACTGTGCCACACAAATCAACGTTCCTCATTTTTCTCACAGAGGGTCATCCACCAATGGAACTCTTTGCCGGCGTATGTTGTTAATTCCCCTACCGGTAGTGTGTTCAAGGGACAACTAGATACTCACCTGCTGAAAGGCAACCCGAACTGCCGAAGCCTGATCTAACGGATTACTGAAATGCCTATAAATATACTACTAACATGATTTCAACAGATCCTTTTTTGCGTCGAACTTTACCCGGATGGAAATTTTCACAGTCCGAATGCGGTGTACAAAGTTTTTCGCAATTATTTGGCGAATACCATGTCCCTTTCGCATTTATTTTCCATTATTAGATTTATGAATTCTCCTTACTAAAACTGCGAGCAAAATTTGTGCAATTTAACTATGGTCCTTTACATCTGTACAGTCTAAATGGAGTTTTCAGGGCTTCTGCCGTTTACTCCAGATATACTGACTGAAACTGACTGACTGAAGTGCTTAGGGGGACTTTTGCAAACTGCGCAACAAAATGGGCAGAATAAACCGGCAAGTACTGCGAAAGAAAGACCGAAGACTTGTTGCACCCTATGCCAACTGTGGATCTTGCAGTCCGGTCAGGTGATAACACATCAGGATCCACCATCCCTCCAGTCAAAAGTACTTGGAATCATCGTGCGCCAAATCTGAACTGCGCTAAACCGGCCAGGAGACCTTGGATCGTCGAAGACTGCACCATCTTAGAGAAGGCCCAGTGCCGGACCAAAAACACGGAAAAGTGTTTAGGGTGTAACGGGCGGCCATCATGACCGGTCTGACGTCATTGTCCAAGACCTCGCTGCCTCAAGGTCATCGACTCTTTTGCAGTGAGCCGTTCCTGACGCGCTGTCCTACAAAAACACACCCTCAACCTTCGACCTTGTTCCCGTTCCCACAAGGAACAACAGTTGAATTATCCCCTACGACTTTTTTCACCCCCTATGCGCTATCATCCCCTTAAAACTACACACGGGGAAAACTAAGATTGAATAGCATTACCGACAAGGGCAAGGCAGACTGGAAGGGACATTTCAGGCTTACTAGCCAGCCAGTCACGCCCAGCCCCGAAGTCTGGAACACCTGGGGCTCGACCATACGACCTGCTGATCAGAAGTCCAACGTCCCTAACAGGTTCAATTAAAGAACATCAACAGCTCTATCCTCGCGCACGTGGTAGACACAGACCACCCTGCATACGCCAGAGAGGCCTTCACAGTGATTTATAAGATCCAGTTGAGCTATCCAAACCTACTTGGGCAGCGCCTGTTGGCTACGGAGGAGGAGGCTGCGAACCGGTCCTATGCGCACAGAAGTACTTCATACAGGTCCCTCATTTGCCGTGGGTCAAATCAACCAAGCCAACCACCCGCATGTAATTACCTTCGTCGGGACCCACCTTCTCGCTGACGCTGACAGGAATTGTGGTGTTCCACTTTCCCCCTTCCCTTTCCAAACTCGAGCTACAGCATAATTATCTACTTGACCGAATCTTTTGATTCATTATTTCAATAGCTATATGAATGTCCAGGCCTGAAGACAGTTTATCTAAAACAGACCTATGCTCGTCAAACTGCCTTTTGAATTTTACAACGGGAATTTTTGCCAGCCAGTCGGGTCTCCCTTTTGTCCAGCCCCTCTGAAACGAAGCTCTTTGCGGGGACCTACAGTAGGTGGGCTAACTCATGAAATGTCAACCGAACTTCCGAAATGCGTTTTCCTTTTAAGAAGATTAATTAAGTAGGATTGTAAAATTAATCATCAAGCAGCATAATTCTACAAAAATTCAGGCACCCCAGGATGCCGGCTCTTGAACAAACTTCTTTCCGGCTGCATGCAAAAATATGCTCTGTAAAAAGGACTATTTAAGCAGCATGCATTTTTATCACTGATTTTCGATGCCAATTATATTTCATGGAAAACATGCATAAAAATATTCATTCTTTTGGTCGTTCGGTAGAAAATAAAGTCTTTTTCGAATTTTATACTCGAAGGTAGCGCATAATTCGATTTTCAAACAACTTTTCCGATTCCCAAACGATTTTGAACCCGACCGGCCGTCACACTTGTATTCGTGGTCTCAAACTAAAAGTCGTATACTTTCCGCGTACGGAAAACCATATACTTCTCTACGGTATTAAGTGGACACCATATGGGGTTTATAAAATTCAGCAGTGGAGTTGAGTCATGTTGTTAACTTTACGAACCACATTGGTAAACGCAGAGACACGACGTTTTATGAACGGCCATTTCACGGTATTAGAAAATCTCACAATTAGTAACTTTTCTAAAACCGACTTATACCCTTCCTTCGAGTATCAAAATTTGAAGAAGACGTAATTTTTTACCGAATGAGTAAGAGAATGAATATTTTTATGCACGTTTTCCACGAAATATAATTGAATTTTTAAAGGGCATTGAAAATCAATACGAAAAATGTCCGCTACTTAAGTAGCCTTTTTTCACAGGGTATAGTTTTTGCAACAACAACAACAACAGTTGTCAGCGTCCGCCTCCGTTACTCAGCAGTTAATGGAAGGAAGCCAATGGCTCCAACTCACGTCAGTGTGCTTTGCCAGCTCTTTTATGTATTCCAGCCTGTTGTTGCGGGCGTTCAGATTAGATATTAAGGCGACTGCCTTCTTTTTGCGTCCAGCATGACATTTTGGCAACCAGTGTGAATTGTTCTCATTCAACATTCGAATTTGCTGCTCCAATGGAATGATCTTCTCCGGCTCCTCATTGGCCACGAAGGCGCCGTAGCTATATGGAATATGGGAGTCGGCTTTGGTCGTCAGGAATAGTTTGAACTACATGGGGTTGGTAACAGATGATTAAGAATGGACGCTGGAGGAGGTGGAGTGTTGCCAAACAAAAGACCACGGCAACTTTTAACAATTTAAGTCACTGACCTGACCCCTGTGTAGACCGCATGGACCTCCCAGCATTCCAAAATAGTACGGAGAGCGGCATTGTTCACGAACTCAATGTCAGTTCTTGTAGAAAAAATCTAAGTACGTTTGGTAGCTTGTTTTATTTGGCTCCTAACAAATATGGCTTCATTTCTCATTACTTAGAGTCAACATACTATCTGGCACTTTCATAGGATAATCCGGAATTTGATTACCAACAAAGGCGTACAATCTATCCCAGTGGGTACTAACAGCAGGTGATCTAAATCATGGAATGTCGTGGTTGAGATTAGAGTGGATAGTACGGTCTGCATTTGGTGTTGCTATGAGGTATTATTCGGATCTGACCCATAGTTATAATCCCCTTTTTCTTAGACCACAACCAGTTTCTCTGCCTGCGACCTACGAAACGTTTTTGTTCCTGCTAACAGACTAGACCTTAATCCACTGGAAAATCTCCTCGTGTTGGTCAGAAGGAATTGAAATAAGACGAAAAGCTCCGTACAATGCGGGGGAAGTTTGATATCATGCTTACTAATTATTGGCAGCATGTTATTACCGGCATACTGGTTGGGCTCGAGAGAGAACCCGTAAGGCACAACAGAACGAGTGAGTTCCGTAAGAGCGATCGGTGAGCGTCCCCTACTATAAATAATTAGTCCATAGATAAGTCCACATAAGACAACTTGACATTTCTTGTGTCTGTTCGAATAACAGCCGTTTTGGATGCAAAAGCGCAATCAACAAAGTACTAATACGTTGAATTTGTGATTGGTATTTATTATTTCTCTGTATTATATTTTCTATCTCCGCAGTCAGTTATATTCCGCCACCAATAATTAGTCCATCATAAAGCTACTACTTGGTCTAATAGTTTTCGACGAAGTAAATTAAGTCTTGACTAATAACTGGTGATTTATAGAACAAAATATGTCTTTTTGAAAACGGTCGTTTTCCCTAACACAGTAGTGTCTTTATTAACGCGGTATGGGCAGGCAGAAAAATCAGACTTTGTGTCGAGAAAAACCAAATAAAGACGCACTGTTTTCAAAAAAAATCAAGGGGCGCAATTGGCTCTACAAATCCTGTTTTACAATCTTCCAAATCCCACTCACGTGGTCATATGTGGGAGAAACTTCAGCCGAGAACGCACTGTGTCGGCAGAAACCCTCCAGAACTGTCGATGCCTAATGCGGAGAGCGACCATTCTGGCGGTCAACAACGAAGACCATCAACAGCAGGGCGTTCAGCGACGTCGTAAAGAATACCTTCGTTTACAACACTGTTCACCGACGTTGACTGGACAGCATAGTGTTGCAGAACACGGCACCGGAGAGGCGACCCACTGTCTCGGGTCGCCACTCACAACCCTAGAGGAAGGCCACGAATTTAACTCCGAAAGTACGCAGATAGTGGCGCGGGCCAGCAATAAGACAGGGCGAGAATCGCTGGGGGCCTGGATGTCTGACACCAACTCTAGCAACAGACATGTTGTGTGTTCATCTTCTTTAAAACAAGGGCCTGGGATTCGCATATTCACTTCCATCCTGTTCACTGCTCAGAGGAGGTATTATTCTAATTTGACCTTGAATTATTCCAATTTTTTTAGATCGCAGTCAGCCCCTGCGCCTACGACCTGCGGAGCGTTAATCAAAAGAAATTGGAATAAGGCGAAAAACTGTGTTCAGTGCGAGGAAGTTGAATTTCGTGCCTAATAAACCCGTCCACAGTAGACAACTTGACAGTTCCCATATCTACCCGGCCTACAGCCGTTTCGCATGCAAAAGAATGGTCAAAAAAATATTCACTGGTTTACTTTGAGATTGGCTTTTATTATTTTCCCGTACTATATTTTCCTTCTCTATTGTCAGTTATATTAGGCCTGATATATTAACCTGTCAAAAAGTCGCCGTTTTGTTTGATGGTTTTCGACAAAATCAATTAATTCTTGGATCATATTTGGTGATTTATAGACCCAAATATGTCTTCTGAAAAAAGGGCCGTTTTCTTTAGCGTAGTAGTACTTTCCATAACGCGGTGTGGGTAGCCCCTGCGATGCAGGAGTTTTCGCATGAAACTCGTGACCTTTATTGCTGTCTGTCAAGAACTGTCTGTCTTGAGACACCTCAATCCTCCATCGGCTCACTGCTAACGCCCTCCCATCTTCATTCATATGGTCAGAGGATCTAGTCACAGTAGGGCTTTGCGACGCACAATGTCTGAAAACCTCAATAAGACCTCCTACTGACAGTCAAAGTGTCTAGACAGTGAGCATCAATCTCTCGTGTGCACCATCTATCTTCACAGCAACACAACAGTTGATCGAATTTCTTGCCAAATACAACTTCGACTGACAACGCAACTTGTGCTCAATAACGGACGTTTATCAGTTAGCATTGTTGTAAAATTACTAAACCTTACATGTTTCTGAAAAGCAGACGAAATGGAAGGCATGTGGAAGGGTGACTCTCCGGTTTCCAGAGCCCATGTCGGCTTGACTTGAGGTAGCAACGCCGCAGGGGGTGGTTCCTGTGTGAACACGGCCAGAACGGCATTGGGGTAATCGGAAAAATCAGTGGAGAATATGCAGGAGTAGTGGCATCCGTCGGAGGATATGGCGTGCCAGAGAAATCTGTCATCGGAGTAGATGAGAGGACCCTGACTTTTCGCCGTCTGTATTCGAATGCGTTGCATGAAATGGGTTAATCGTATTCAAACTAAACAATTCAAGAACTTGCGATGATGAATTCTACCTAAATATCTAAGAAAACAAAAAACTCCCACAACAAGCATCCCTCGGATTTGGAAAACGAGCGAGATCCGATGAGTAATCATCCAGGTGTGAAAATTTATCACTCAATCAATCGGCTGATTTATTAGTTGCAAAATGTTAATGAATAAAAAGATAACAGAAAAATCGTCGTGATTCCCCTCTCCTTCGTATTATGAACGCCGTGATTCGATGCCTGGATAATGCTAAATCAATGAGTTTACCTGGCAATATTGGAAGGTCTTGATGGTGCAATCACAGGCCTATGTTGAGGTACCGCCTTTGTAGGGCAGCGATAGTCGACGCATATTAAAGCGAAACTGGAGCACGAACAGCACAATTCGTAATTTGATAAGCAACAAACGGAAGCGTGGAGAAAGCTGCGTTGATAGTGCTGCAGGGTGCTATATATGCAGGTGTAGTTTCGCACTGCCAAGCACGCCTGGTCGAAATCAAATTTACGACACCTACTGTTCCATTTATCTCTTACTAACCCTGTCTGAAAAACAGGGATCCATTTATGATAAAATGGTTTAAATAGTAAAAACTATGTACAAAGATCTACTAAATAGTTAGATTTCAGTTAATGAATAGGTGCCATATTGTATGTGTCTGTCGCAGAGGCGCTCTCACATTGGCTCTCCACCCGAGGTCATTGGAAACTAAAGTTTCCAAGCGACTGACGACGGAATGCAGCGGACGAAAATATGCAACAGGAGCTAAAAAGTCCCTGTTTTCAGGATAATTCTCACATAGCATTGCTTACTTGCATGATACAGCAGGGTGGATGGCACGGGGATACTGCTACCTCGCGAAACATGAATGGAACCCCTTATGAGTTACCGTCTCTCATGATGAGGGAGAATTTGGCTTGTCAGACGAATAAATGTCTTATTCTTATAAATTAAGTCACCAGATTTTGAAGTAACCTATGCAAATTTACTGGAGTCCCGGCGAGCTTAATAAAATGCTTGAGTTCTGCGTATCTGGGCCCTAAATTAACGGTAGATGAAGCCGTGGTCATTGCGTGTTAGAACAAGTCCGTCGCTGCACTCTGCGTTTGCTCCCATTCAACAACTTTTATTAGTAAAATTTTCCTCCACATTTACAGTTCACTTGACCCTCGGCTGTTCAGGGGCGATTGTCGTCCGCGTTCAGCTGCTCATATACAGTAGGTGGGCTAACTCATGAAATGTCAACAGAAATTCCGAAATGCGTTTCCGTTTCGAAAAGAGTAATTAATTGGGCCGTAAAATCAATCATCGTACAGCATAATTCTATAATAATTCAGTTACCTTCGGACGCCGGCTTTCAAACAAACTTCTTTGCGACTGTGTCTAAAAACCATACGCTGTAAAAAATGACTACTTAAGTAGCACGTATTTTTTCATAGATTTTCAATGCCCTTAAAAATACAATTATATTTCATGGGACACATGCATAAAAATATTAATTCTCTTGCTCATTCGGCAGAAAATTACGCCTTCTTTCAATTTTACACTCGAAAGAAGGGTATAATTCGGTTTTAAAAAAGTTGCTTACCGTGAGATTTTTTAATACCGTGAAATGGCCCTTCATAAAACGTCATGTCTCTGCATTAACCAATGTGGCTTGCAAAGTTAACAACATGGATCAAATCCACTGCTAAATTTTATGAACTCTACATGGTCCCCATTTACTACCATAGAGAAATGTATGGTTTTCCGTACGCGGAAATCATACAGCTTGTAGTCTGGGAACCCTGAATGCAAGTGTAACAGCAGGTTGGGTTCAAAATTATTCGGGAATTGAAAAAATTTTATAAAACCAGATTATACCCTTCCTTCGAGTGTAAAATTTAAAAAGACGTAATTTTCTTCTGAGTGAGCAAAAGAATGAATTTTTTATGCATGTTTTCCATGAAATATAATTGAATCTTTAAGGACATCGAAAATCAATGAAAAAAATCATGCGATATAAGTAGTCCTTTTTACAGAGTATAGTTTTTGCATGCAACCGGAAAGAATTTCGTTCGAGAGCCGGCGTCCTGGGGTAACTGAATTATTATAATTCGTCTGAATCAATCACAACGCGCGGGGGGATTTGGCTTGGAAGGTTCCCAACGGACTGGATAACTCTGTTTTCGTGTATGTGGAGTGTAGCCAACCGAGGTATTATGGCACCTTCACGCATGTGACAGTCGAACCGTCCTCCCATTAAGATCCGGTAGACTGCGTGTGGGCCATCTCGTGCATGGCACGCGTAGACGGTAGATGCGCTGGCGCTCCCGATAGGTACACTGGTAGTGGGCAGGACTGCCCAGTCATCCTCGTCCTTCTGACCCTCCTCCCGTTGGGTGTTGTTGTCGTTGTGAGTGTATGTTGTGGGCCAGGGGATGTGGTGGTACGTCCGGGTGCTGGTCAGGCAGTGCCAGCCACCTGCGCCCTCTCCCGCCCTCGATCTTCTTACCTCTGTCTTGACACCGGATCCCGGTGGGGGTGGGTGGGGTGTGAGAGTGCGGTAGATGCTGCGCAAGCCCACAATCACTATAAACTAATTCACGCGCAAATCACCGTGCCTGTTGCACGTTGGTGTGTGGCACACGGTGGACATCGTCGGAATCGTCGGTTGTATGGCACGCGTAGACGGGCTGCTTAACTTTCCGAACTGCTACGTCCGAGCCCATCTCCGCGGTCGTCCTGTGTCCAGGTGAATGAGGAAGAAGAGCGTGCGGCAAATGCGGCATTTTGTGATACTTGTTATCATGCACAGTAACCCCAAGATACTTCGGTCACGACAGGAAGCCGATTTTTGAATGGGCCTTCCCCAGACCACCTACAAAAACCGCCCTCGATAGAGAAAATTACCAGTTCAAAACATGAATGTTTTCATTAATTTTAGATACGCTTGGACATTCAGGCATATTCTACAGAAAATACGGGTAAAAATATCTTTTCTACAAGCATTCGACAGCAAATTACGTCTTCTTAAAATATGATGCTCCAAGATGAGCTCTGCTTCGGCTAAAAGTTTGTAATTATGGGATTTTTTAAGATCAAGAAATGTCGAATCATACATCCATATTGACCCGGCCCTGAAAATCTGCCAAAACATCTATGAATTACGTAAGCCTGGTAGTCATCTGGTGGATTCTTGGTGAATTACTTAGGAAATCCTGCTTGGGCAGTCAAATTACTGTATCAGTTTTGGTGGATTCCAGACGTCGTAGTAGTTAGGGCGGGTAACTTGACGCAAATGTGATTAAACTCGCGGCGTCCGGCGGAGCCTCATAGCTTTAGTGGTTAAAGCGTTGGCTGTAATAAAGCCTTCTCCTTATTGCGTGGGTTGGAATCCCACCGAGGCGCCGAGTTTTTCACAGTTGGGTCACTATGAGTTATTCAAACTCAACCAAAATACGTATGGATTATGAAGTTTACATTACAGTCCAAATTCATTACAAAATAACTCGAATCAAACATGACCATTTCCAGGCATCGTGGAGGAATGTATCATTTTATCTGCACAGAAAGTATGCAGCTTGTACAAAGTTTGAAAGCCCTAAGCTCAAGTGCAGCTTCAGGTCGGGTTCGAAATTATTAGAGGATGTGAAATTCCTTAGACCTACAGATACCCTTTCTTTAAGTGTGAAATTTAAAGAAGGCGTGACTTCCCTCCTAACGAATTCAAGAAAGGTTATCTCTGTTCATCCTTTCTATAACATTTATTTGAATATATGAGGGCATGGAAACAGATAGGAACAGTTCATAATACTTAAGTAGCCACTTGTTTGTGGGACGTTGTTTTTTTTTCAGGTAGTCGGAAAGAAGCTCATTCATGGGCCGGCATCCTGTTAAAATTCCACCTAAGTAATCCTCTTTAATAGAAAAAAACCATACAGAACTTCGGTCAACATCTAATGAGATGGACCGGACACCATATCATGACGGAGATCGAGTTACCTTTTGAGATCACCAAACCAAAGCCTACTAAATACTGCACAAAGGAAATGCACATGAAGTAATATGAGGATATGTGCATTTGTTTGATCACCGCATACACCAAAACAAAAATGTTTATTTTCTGAACGGCCGGATCTGCTGACGGCTTCTTAACTGCCTCGATGCGCGGCATGCCAGGAATAGCAAATGAAAGACACACGGTCAACATTGCAGCGTTGACCTGCGTGCTGCAAGTCCAAATGCCTTTCATACTCAGCATTCTGAAGCACTCTGAAATTTATTTCATCCACTTAGATGTGCACATAAGGCCATTTGAATCATGATTGTTTAAAATCAGCAGTCGTGCGTGTGTACATCGGCAATTTTTCGAAGGAACTGCACAATCTACACTTCAGCTTACCTCTGAAGTAGTGTTTGAGATCCATCGCATCTGCTGAATGACGGAGGCATAACCATATCTATTATTGCTTCGATTCCGCCGGATGCAGTATCGATTTTGATAAATTTCCTTGTACCTCAGCCAATCAGTGGACGTCTCCGCAGGCGGTTTTAGTAGACTCCAAGAGATTGGCGTTTTCATGGTTGTGATGCTACTCGACAGCCGATAGGTGACAATGAGAAATACTAGGGCGAAAGCGATCACACTGAATGTCTTCGTGCATCTTTTCGCCGTCCTCTGCATTTCTATGTGCCTGCAATTCAAAAGAGGCGGAGATATCGATTGGCGTCGAGGCTCGTCATGCGGCGCTGACGACTGTTTCATTGGCTGTTTGACATTTCTGTATACCATAACTTTTCAGAAAAGCAGTCTGACGTATTTGAGCATCGAGACAAATTGAAGCTGTGAGAAAGCAGATGATTCATTCGCAAAATGGGAAGCGTGAAAAGTTCAGAACAATTCATTGGGTTTAATTTGCACAGGATGATGTGACAGAACCATGGAAACCGGCATTCTGTGCAAGGATTCCGAACAAATCGATTCATAA